ATATAATGATATTGGGAGGATGAAAGGATGATAGTTGAAGGAGTTATGTCCTTTTTACCTTCTATAGAAAGTCAAGAGCTAATGTCTCAGCCTTTTTCAACCAGGGTTCCTCATTTGATCCATAGTACACAGAAAATGATTTGAGTGACTGACTACTTTCTCAATTCTCCCAAGGAAAGTACAGACCCAAGACCAGCCTAGATGTACAGGAATATAGCTAATCCATTACGTACAAGGATACCTTAGGGCAGTGGTCCCCAACCTTTTTGGCACCAGGGACTGGTTTGGAAGACAATTTTCCCCTACGGGGTTGGGGGGCGGTGGTGAGGGGGTGGCGGAGAAGCTGAGCCCAGGCAGTGATGTGAGCAATGGGAACCAGCTATAAATACAGATGAAGCTTCGCTCACTCTCCCACACTCACCCTGACCCCCAGGTGCCCCCACCTACCGCTGCTCACCCAGAGTTTACCCACCACTCACCTCCTGCTGTGTAGCTCAGTATCTAAGTTTCATGGAAGATAATTTTTCCACAGACAGGGCTGGGAGAGGGGAGGCGGAGATCAGGCAGTGACACGCCTGGTTCCTAATAGGCCATGGACCAGTACCAGTCTGTGGCCAGGAGTTGGGGACCCCAGCCTTAGGGCACTAGGACTGAGTTCTCTCACAGAACCCCAGCTGAGAAAGGGAAGGATGAAGGAAGAGTTGCACAAGCATGTTATTTAGATACCTGAAGACAAACAGTGTAAGACAAAACTAAGAAGTAATAGAGGCTGCCTCTTCGGAGTGGGAATGGGGGTTGGTAGGGGCAAGGGACTATTACCCTTCCTATTTTGCATTACCATCTGACTTTAAAACTGCAGACATGCATTAATCCAATAAGAATAAAATTTAAACTTTTAAAAAGAGGTTCAGAATGACAAAACTACACAAACTGTTAATAAGTAGCTCCATCTCCTAGGCTTAGGAAAGGGTGAATAAGAAACAAATTTTCACTTTTTGCACTGTGTGTCGTTTAAAATTTTAAATAAGCAATAAAGGGTTTGGGTCTGGTGGCTCACACCTATAATCCTAGCACTCTGGGAGGCCAAGGCAGTAGGACTGCTTGAGGATAGGAGCTCTAAGACTAGCCTGAGCAAGAGCAAGATCTGTCTCTACAAAAAAATAGAAAATTAGCCAGGTGTGGTGGTGGTGCGTGCCTGTAGTCCCAACTACTCGGGAGGCTGAGGCGGGAGGATCGCTTAAGCCCAGGAGTTTGAGGTTGCTGTGAGCTAGGCTGGCGCCACCGTACTCTAACTGGGGCAACAGAGTGAAATCCTGTCTTGAAAACAAAAAACAAACAAACAAACAAAAAAAACTGAAGGAAAAATTATTTTAACAAGACAAAAAAGCCTTTGAAATCAGAGAGTCCTAGATTTGAATCCCAGCTCCATCTCTTGCTAGTTTGGTAATCTCAGACAAATTCTAAATCTCTTTATCTATAAAATGAGGATGAAGACATCTACCTCCTAAGGTTGTAATTAAGATCAAATTATATAAAATAATGATGATGAAAACAATAATATGAGTTAACATTTATTGAATGGGGCACTTTGGCGATTCATTTAATCCTGACAACCATCTGAGATATTAACATAATCCCCCATCCCTCCCCGCTTTTTTTTTTTAGCCAGAGTCTCACTCTGTTGCCCGGGCTAGAGTGCCGTGACGTCAGCCTAGCTCACAGCAATCTCAAACTCCTGGGCTCAAGCAATCCTCCTGCCTCAGCCTCCCAAGTAGCTGGGACTACAGGCACGCACCACCATGCCTGGCTAATTTTTTCTATATATTTCTAGCTGTCCAATTAATCTCTTTCTATTTTTGGTAGAGACGGGGTCTCACTCTTGCTCAGGCTGGTTTCGAACTCCTGAGCTCAAACAATCCGCCTGCCTCAGCCTCCCAGAGTGCTAGGATTACAGGCGTGAGCCACCGTGCCGGCCATAATCCCCTTTTATAAGTAAGAAAACATACCTAAGATTCAAATCCAAGGCAGGATTTGAACCCACATAGTCTTTCTTACTCTAGGATCCATGCTTTTAACTACTGCAGCATATTGCACAATACTTAGCAGAGATCAATAAATGCCATGTATTCTTATGGTCATTACTAGTTAAAGGATAAAATTTATGGAAGAAATTCAAAGAATGTCAGTAGCTCCTGACACTCTTGACCATCAATATATTTCAGGTAACCCTGATTAAGATGATAGCTAAACATTTTTTACCTACCATTAAACAGCCTTCCCATGGAAAATGATTCTAAGATGAAACTAATTTTTTCCAATAGTGAGATCATTACAGTTCTGAAGGAAGAAGTATATTCTCTTCTTCCTGATCTTGGGAGAAGGAACCAAGTTTGTTCAAATTGTTACTTCCTTCACTCCTGTTTCTTTGTTTCAAGTTACAGAAAATATGAGATATCTCTTATCTCTCTCTCTCTTGTTTTTTTTTTTAAGACAGAGTCTCGCTGTTACCCAGGCTAAAGTGTCATGGCGTCAGCCTAGCTCATAGCAACCTCAGACTCCTGGGCTCCAGTGATCCTCCTGCCCTCAGCCTCGATCCTCCTGCCTCAGCCTCCTGAGTAGCTGGGACTATAGGCATGCGCCACCATGCCCAGCTAATTTTTTCTATATATATTTTTAGCTGTCCAGCTAATTTCTTTCTATTTTTAGTAGAGACGGGGTCTCGCTCTTCCTCAGGCTGATCCTCCCGCCTCAGCCTCCCAGAGTGCTAGGATTACAGGCGTGGGCCAACACGCCTGGCCTGAGATATCTCTTAGCTATCTTTCTTTCCTCCACCTGCTACAGTTTGAATGTGTCCCCTCTAAAATTCAGGTATTGCCAATGTGATAGTATTAAGACGTGGGTCCTTTAAGAGGTGATTAGGCCATAAGGGCTTCTCCTTGTGGGGACTGGGGCCTTTCCAAAGAGGCTCCCCCAGTGTTAAGGCTCACTTGCTCTCCTGCCACATAAGGACACAGAGTTCCTCGCCTCTGAAGGATACAGCAACAAGGCACCAGCTGGAAAATAAAGTGCAGCCCTCACTAGACAACAGAACTTGCCAGTGCCTTGCTTCCGGAACTGTGAGAAAATAAATTTCTGTTCTTTATAAATTACCCAGTCTTAGGTATTTTGACAGCAACACAGAACTGACTAAAACATATCCTTCCAACTCATGCTACTGATTCATGAGGCTGCAAAGGTACCATTCCACAAAAAATTTAAACCATGTACAATGGCCAGTTTAAAGAATAAAAACTGGAATATGATACCAACATTTCTTCAACAAAACATCTGAATTCATTTTGTCCAGAGACCAGAGAATAGTGTTTATGAGAGTGGGGAAAAGGAAAATAAGATGTCTTAATCTGACATTTACGGTACCTTGAACCTTTATATCCACTGAGATCTTTGTCCATATCCAACTCAGGGGTGGATTCAATGATTGCTTGAACTTCTGACTTCTCTTCATTTTCAGCATTACCTAAGGAAAGGACATGATGAAATAAATAATATGTGTATTACGTAGTGCCCCTAACATGAAAATCCTGTTGCTTTTATGTTTATAACAACAGCACTGGAACGTTAAACAGAAAGTAAAAGAGTGGGTTCCAGGAAACACAGCATTAGACAGTATGTCATATACTCAGTTAACAGTCAATATCACAAGCTCATAAGCAACGAACAGAAATTTTCATTTGTGTTTATTGGGATATACAGTGCAATCTATTCAAGGCCCTGCTTTCATTCCTATTTCAAGGGTGGGGGAAAAAAACTAAAGACAAAGACTAATAAACCAAGGTAGGGGACAGAAAAGAATTTTCCTCCTGCCCTTTAGGCTCTCTGATCTCCCAGCTCCTAACATTTTAGTCTTCAAGACTTTATTTAACCATTACCTCTTTTAAGCTTATTTACAACTGAATAAAATGAATTACGGCCATCGCTTTGTAATCTGTGGGGGCTGGTTCCAGGACTCCCCACTATACCAAAATCCTCCATGCATGGGTCCCTTATATAAAATGGTGCATTATTTGCATATAACCTATGTACAACGTTCTGTGTACTTTAAATCATCTCTAGATAACTTTAAAACCTAATATAATGAAAATACCATGTAAGTAGTTGTTATACCGTATTGTTTAGGGACTATGACACAAAAAAAGTAAGTACATGTTCAATACAGATGCAACCACTTTGTTTTTTCAAGTATTTTCAATCTGTGGTTGGTTGAATCCATGAATGCAGAACCTATGGTTATGGAAGGCTGACTGCATCTAACTATTTTACAAAAATAAAGCAGGCAACACCCCAAAGACATTTCCTTCTCATACTCAAATCATCTGTGTTTACTAAATACTTTGCGACTAAGTAAAGGACTAGAGTCATTTACCTGTAGATACATTTCTAGTTTCTTGGGCTACCTGTACTTCAATGTGCTTGCTTATCTCTGATACATTTGTTGTATCTGTAACCTTCACAAATCCTTCATTATCTTCCTTTAAGGGAGTATCAGTAGGAATTGTTGCCACATCTGAATTAGCTGTTGATGCTGGAGTGGTAGCTTTAGATCCACCTTGGCTAACGTCAGAAAGTTCATCCTACAAATAAAAATAATTAAGAATAAAATTTTAGCTGAGTAATTTATTCTAAATCACTTTTAAAATGGGTTAAGAAATAAACTTGCACAGAGACAGTTCTATTAAAAAAAAAAAGGCAATAAAGAGTTACTGATTACCAATAAACAATCTTTCTAGATTATTTGCAAATAATTGAGAAATATTTAAGTAAATTGTATTTTTCCAGACATATGAGATATTTTTAAACAGAAATTTGAAAATAAAAGTAAACTGAAGGTATTAGCAATAAAATTATACATTAATGCCAACACTGATTTTTTTTTTTTTTTTT